GTCGCTTTTTTTATCAAAGCAACGATCGCTTTATCTAAAAATAACGCTGAAACGAATAGTTTATTATTAATTACCAAAGTATAAACGCCCTTCGAATCGGTGATCATAGCTGCAGTTGCGAGTACAGTAATGTCTCTCTAATCGACGCTCATATTGTCCACAGAAATGGACAATTTAATAAAAACTACTAAATAATATTATATAGAATAATAATAATATATAATAATAATATTATATATTATAATTTAATAAAAAATACTATTATTGCAGCCTTGTGGTTTGTTTTTATTGTTACGAATGGCCAACAATTATAAAAGCGAGCCGCAAGGCTCGAATAATAGTATTTTTTATTAAATTATAATATATAATATTATTATTATATATAATATTATTTAGTATCTTTTATTAAATTGTCCATTTCTGTGGACAATCTGAGCGTCAATTAAAAAGACATTACTGTATTTCACAAGACTCAACGTTCTCGTAAGCTTCCGGATATCAAAAGTTAATAAACAAATTAAAACTACGATTGCCGTTACTCGTACGTCATAAACTATCAATATCGAACATGTAAAAAGATTATGAGAACAATTTTTAGGGGATTACGCACTGCAAAACGTTAGATTCGATTACTTTTTTAAAGTGCCGCAGTATTCGGGTCGGCCGCGGTAATGCCCGCGGTCGCCCTATATGGGAGGCATAGGCGTCGAAACGGTTTTCAAATGCTGCGGATTGTCGAGCACGGCGTGTTTGACGGTCGCCATAGATCGTCTCCGCGGCGACATCCGTTTCCTGTTCCCCCATTTCCATACAATGGCCGCCGCGCCGTCGAATATAGATCGTCTGGGTGCATTTAATGAGACTCTCGCTATCGGGATCCTCGAAAGAGGGTCGTAAACCTCGTCGACCTTATTTTCCGCGTCAATAATCCAGAAAATACTCGCGCGAAACATGTCGGGAATTAACGCCGAGTGCCCCGTTCCCACTTGCACGCCCGCGGCGCGGCGAGGCGCGGCGCGATCCCGGAGCGGAGAGAAGCGGAATATAACCCGGGGTGCCGGGAAGCGAGCTGGGAATTCAGCTGGCCTCTTTTCCATCCACTTTATCCGGCGCGGAGGCCCATTTAAACGAGCGTTCCGCGAGGATTCGTTACACGAAGTTTACGTAACCATAATCGACGCCGGCGCTACGAATTCGATTCGACTTCGCCGGGGGGTTAATTGGGTTAATTAAATTTTCGAAGAAAGCCGCGCGAAACGTACTCGCCGGCCCGCGATAATGGCCGGCCCTGGAGCCAGGGCTGTGCGCGCGTTCGAAAACTTCAATGGTCGGGTGCCAAGTTCAATAGAACTTCGTTCAGTTTCCGGCGCCTTTAGCCATCGCGCCACGCCGCACCGCGCCGTTTTCATTCGTCCGCGTTTTCGCGAGTTCGCGCGACGTCGGCGAATCCGCGTTCATTTTAATTCGCGCAGGATTCGAACCGCGAAATCTGCAGCTTGATAACTTAACACTAAATCTACCGCGGTCAAAGTGACCGCTTTCTTATTTTGCAATTCTGAAAAGTTTCGAGACTCTTTCGTGGAGAACGCTTGGATAAGTTATATTGTTGGAGCAAGTTTTATAATAAAAATTTTGCAAATTCTAAATAAATTCGGTCTTCTCACTTTTGTGAAGCGGTACATGCCAGTTAGTATTATTAGTATTGATGATATGATTATATCAAAGTGACCACTTTCTTATTTTGCAATTCTGCAAAGTTCCGAGACACTTTCGTGGAGAACGCTTGAATAAGTTATATTGTTTGAGCAAGNCTACATTCGCTCGAACAGTTGAAAAGTACATAATTCGATGAACGACAAAGCAACATAATTTAACACTAAACCTACCGCGGTCAAAGCGACCGCTTTCTTATTTTCCAATTCCGCAAAGTTCCGAGACACTTTCGTGGAGAACGCTTGAATAAGTTATATTGTTTGAGCAAGATTTATAATAAAATCTTTACAAATTCTAAATAAATTCGGTCTTCTCACTTTTGTGAAGCAGTACATGCCAGTTAGTATTGATTGATGAGTTAGTATTGTTAGTATCGATAATATGATTATATCAAAGTGACTGCTTTCTTATTTTGCATTTTTGCAAAGTTTTGAGACTCTTTCGTGGAGAACGCTTGAATAAGTTATATCATTGGAGCGAGTTTTATAACAAAAACTTTGCAAATTCTAAATAAATTCGGTCCTCTCACTTTTGTAAAGCAATACATGCCAGTTAGTATTACTGTTTGGTAGGTTTAGTGTTAACCCTTTGCACTCGAAGCTATTTTAACTGTAAATCTAAAATAATTTTTCTGACTTCTCGAGTATTGCAGCGACCACTCGCACGCACAATGGAAACTTTCGTCCTCGCGCAAACGACCGGCGTAATTTACGACGCTCCTTCGAAGAAGCTATTTTTGAGATGATAAGTTCCAAACCTTGACGACGCATGTTCGCAATAGAGTTTTTTTAGAAATACCTCGATAGCAAACGGGGACCGTCATAAATTCGGAGAGTTTCCGAAGGGTACTCGAAGCGGACCCAGCTACCCAATGGCCATGCGGTCCGACGCGGGTGACCCGAAGGAAAAGTTCCACTCGTCGTAGGTCAGTGGACGATAACAGAATCGATAACAGATTTCGATAAAAAAGATCTTATACACTGAGCCGAATAAAAGCCTCGAGTCGTGACGTTTTCAACTTCTTTTTCTGCACAGACGTAACCAGCTAAAATTAAGGAGACCGAGTTTCCGTTACGATTTTTCAAAGAGGTTCTATGAAACTTTTAAGATGCATTTTCAATTTTGCTTGCATTTTAAAACACTCGTCCATAATTTGAAAATGATACAGCTGAAAATATTGCAACAATATTTACAAATTTTTTATAAATATTATTCTTAAGTAAGTTAAAATAATAAATATTATTGTTAAATAAATCCTTAAATATTTTAATCCTTTCCACTGCTTTGTATTCGATCTACACATTTTCTTGATAAATGCATAAAGTTAATCAATATTAATAATATATAATCATAATATTATAATGAAATTAATTAATTATAAAATAAAGAGTTGTGGATCCATCAGCTCGTTACTCGAATATAATAATAATAATATATAATAATAATAATAATAATATAACAAAATTAATTAATTATAAAATAAAAAGTTTGCTCCATCAGCTCGTTACTCGAAGCTGAAGCTCGTTACTCGAGCTGATGAAATATAATAATAATATATAATAATAATAATATTACAACAAAATTAATTAATTGAAATAAAGAGTTTGATCCATCAGCTCGTTACTCGAAACGCGGAACAAATTTTTCCTTCGAAATTAAAAATTCCTTTCGGTTCTTGACCGTTTCCCGACGGCCGAACAACGAGAATCCATGAATCGTAGAATTTCGCTTTCGACTAGAAATCGATGTCGCCTCGTCTTATCTCCGAGCACGCCCACCGCATCCTCCGCCGCTTTATTTCGAGACCGATCGAGTCAGAGTTTATCGGGCATGCAGGCACGTATGATTACGAAGTCCCCCGTATATCTCGCCCTTCAACGAAAGCGATTCAATCGCGTCACGTGAGCATTCATTCAGCGTTATCGTAGCGTTTAATCCGTGGAAAAAAAAGCGTCGGTCAGGTGAGCCGTGAAATCACCGGCTCTCCTATGCGTCCCGAGGAGTCGCCAATTACGATGCCTTTTTTACCTTCGAGCACTCGCGTTTTCGTTTTCACGCATTCGTTCGCACGGGACGGCCATTTGCGTAGCGTTAATCATTCTTCCCGGAGCAATTGCCGCGACGATTACATACTCGCTTATCCACTTATTCGAGCGAATCAAAAATTATCGCGCGACCGCTTCTTCTTGGATCGCTTCTACCAGGAAAAACCACGTTTGACTCACTAATCTAATTTTCTGTAATCCTTCCTTCATTCCTGCGATATTTCCTTCATTTTTTTCTGTGATCTTTCCTTCACTTTTTGCTGCGATATTTCCTTCATTTTTTTCTGTGATCTTTCCTTCATTTTTTTCTGTGATCGTTCCTTCATTTTTTTTGTGATCCTTCCTTCATTTTTTTCTGTGATATTTCCTTCATTTTTTGCTGCGATCTTTCCTTCATTTTTTCTGCGACCTTTCCTTCATTTTTTTCTGCGATCTTTCCTTCATCTTTTTCTACGATTTTTCCTTTATTTTTTGCTGCGATCTTTTCTTTATTTGTTTTCTACGATCTCTCCTTCAGTTATTTTCTACGATCTTTCCTTCATTTTTTCTGCGATCTTTCCTTCATTTTTTGCTGCGATCTTTCCTTCATTTTTTCTACGATTTTTCCTTTATTCTTTACTACGATCTTTTCTTTATTCTGTTTCCCGCAAGGTTCCATTTAACCCTTTGCACTCGAGTGTCGATTGCGTGTTCCAAATGCACTGTATCGTATAAAATAGAACTGCCATGGACCAGAAGAACTATTTTAAATTTTGCGTTAATTTAGCTTCGTGTGCAAACGGTTAAAGGGTCGCTGCCCCAAAATTCGTGGAACGAGAACTCGATCGTCGGCCTCGATGTACAAAGTGGCCGCATTCGCGCTAATTTTATCCGCAACGAATGCGATTCCGCAACCGTGCATGCGACGCGCCCACAATGCGCGTCCTTAAATATCCGCATTAGCATGCAAATATGTATTGCGCACGTCCATGGGAGCGAAGAGACGCGATTTACGCACGCGTGTCGGAGCGAAAGGTCGCGCGCCGCGCCGCGTTCTCCGCTCGACGGCGAGGATATATGCCAGTTTCAAACCGTCGAGCTCTCTCTCCCGTCGCTTTCGAGGATTATCGACTCTCGTCTTTTGTTGCCCACGCAACGAAACTCTGCGATCTCGCCGATGAAAATTCGCGGCGGGCAGCAAGCAGCGCGCACACGCTGCGACGCGACAATGGCACGATTTATGCGTCAATGATTTCCACTTACCCGTCGCTCCTCCTCGCGCGCCGCTCTCAGGTGAGATTCGATCGCGTCCAAATCGATCTTCGGCATCGCTGTTTCGATGTTGTACACGTCGAAGCCACCTTCAACAGGAAAAACAACGGCGTACTTTGAATTCGTCGGACAAATTAGATGGCGATGCGTTGGCGCGAACCATTTAAAAGTATCTGCGATGAGAGTTCTTTTACGACGAGCATTAATTTCATCCGGTTTGGGGAGCAAATTCTTTGGAAGAATTTTACTTGATCGCTTAATTTGCTTAATTCGCTTTCGTGCACAGAAACGCGTGGGTCGGATACAAGACTGGAGAAACGGAAGAATTTCGTGGTATTTTTGCAATAATCTCAACTTATCGCAGTTATTAAAAGAGAGGAAATAGTTTCATTCGCGACTTGTATTTCCTAGAATTAGATTTAAAATTTTAGAATTATTAATAGACAATTTTTGATTAGAATAAAGACCCGTTTTCAGGGTATCCCAAAAATGTCTCGCAATCCGGGTTCCTTGGATTATTTGAAGCTATTTCTTCCTTTACAAAAATGTTCTCCGAGGCACCGTTAACGAGTTATTAACGAAAAACAGTGACCAATAAGAATCGAGTACGGCTGGCGCGAGGCGGGCCAGCCAACCAGTGCACGAAGCCCCGTTCCGCTCATTGGCTCGGTTGCCTCGCGTCAGCCGAGCTCGCCTCTCATTGGTCACCGTTTTTTGTTAATAACTCGTTAACGGTGCCTCGGAGAAAATTTTTGTAAAGGAAAAAGTTGCTTCGAATGGCCCGAGGAACCCGCAACTTTCGGATTGCGAGACATTTTTGGGACACTCTGTATATTAACCCTTTGCACTCGAAGCTATTTTAATCGTAAACTTAAAATAATTTTTCTGACTTACAGTATTTCCATTTTATATAAAAAAAGTGCATTTTATGCATATGACATTGAGTCTTCTGATGATTTTGTACAACAGTTACACTTTTAACAATGTTTTAAATGTAAACTTTGTTAATATAAAAATTATCTTGGAACGTGATCCAATAATTTTAGTGGTGCCTCAGAGTCACCACTCGAGTGCAAAGGGTTAATTACAGTAAGGGTCAATTACACAAAAGTTGACAATTCGAGAGGAGGAGATACGATTGTTCGAGCTTTTTGTGGCTCGTTTTTATAGTCTCCGATTTTGAATAATTATAAAAAGGCTCCAATAATCGTATCTGCTCTTCTAAAATTGACCATTTTTGTGCGAAATCTAAGCGCGAATTAGGGAGAAATTACTATACCACTCTAACGGCGGATCTTTCCGGCAACGATTCAACGGTGACTGACATCGTTTCTCATTTTATTTATCAACTTTTATCAGCTCATTTTTTACGATACTCCCTCTACACGCGTTAGTTTCTCTGTCAATCTCAATGAAACATGCAATAATTTAAATTCAATGTCAGGAACTAGATACTGAAAGAATAACATTAACGCTCCGTTCGTTTCCAAAATATTTTATAAAATATCCGATAAAATATCTTCCATTGACCGAACAACTTTCGAGCCACGCGAAGTTGTCTTTCGACTCATACGATTATTCGAGCCTTTTTATAGTTATTCAAAATCACTAACTATAAAAACGAGCCGCAAGAAGCTCGAACAATCGTATCTCCTCTTCCCAAATCGTCCATTTTCGTGCGCAACCTGAGCGCGAATTAGGGAGAAATTACTGTAATTGACCCTCTGCACTCGAGTGATGACTCTGAGGCACCACTAAAATTATTGTACGACGCTCCAAGATAATCTTTACATTAACAAAGTTTACATTTAAAACATCGTTAAAAATGTAACTGTTGTACGACTCGTCAGAAGACTCAATTTCATATGCATAAAATGCACTTTTTTATATAAAATAGAAATACTGTAAGTCAGAAGAATTATTTTAGGTTTACGATTAAAATAGCTTCGAGTGCGAAGGATTAATATAGAGCGACTCTTTATACCAAACAAAAATCGTCTATTGATAATTCTAAAATTTTCAATCTAATTCTAGGAAATACAAAATAAGTTGCGGATGAGACTGCTTCCTCTCTTTTAATAACTGCGATAAGTCGAGCAACAAAGCGTTCGAAGCGTAAAGCGATGCTGAGAGCGACGACGAACAAGCTGCAGGAACAACGTTGGTTCACAATTCTCACAGTCGGGGAGTAAGCAAGTTGTCGTTGCGCAAACACTTCTGCGTAACTTTCCCATCGCGAGCCATCGCGGTTCGACGGAACGTCGTACGTTAATCTACGAAACGAAAGTGTCAAGATCATTAAGGAAACACGCGCGTGTACCGTGAAGCACGATGAACGACAGACAGACAGAGGCGAGCACGAGAGAATACAGCCGGGAAGGAAACGCGTCGACGAGCGGTGACGACGACGACGACGACGGTGAAAGAAACGTGTCACGCACGACGGAAGATACGCGAAGGTGCATTTATTGTCCTAAAGATTACGCTAATCGTGCGGGCTTCCTGTGCGCGATAAATGCGGCAAATGTTAACTAGGTTCGACCAAGATTATACGCGCGTTCCCAGTCCGAGCTTCGTAATCGGGCCGCGTGACCCTTGCGCTCGCATGCGGTTTTATTGTTTTCTGTGTGCTCCGGCACCGTGAAATTTCACTTCTGTTGGCCAACCGCCGCGACGTGACGTGACGCGACGCGATGCGACGCGCCGCGCGACGCAATCGCGTTTCCGCAGCCGCAAAACGCTCCGGGAGCAAAAACTTCCGTTTCCTGTCGAGGATGATTTTACGAGCGGACTCAGGAAAAACCGGATCCCGCCGATCACGCGGCGAGAAAGCTTCGCGATCGAGGCCCGATGAGCGGAAAATTCCCGAACGCTCGACAAGTTTTTTCGTTTCGGAGAAAGCCGCCGTTCGCGCGCGTAGAAACGCACGCGCTTCGCGATTTTCTGTACGTCGCAGCGGCGAGATTGTTCGTCGTCGGACACTCGTGCAGATCGCGATCGATTGTTTTAGTCGAACGTTGACGAGAGTTACGAAATCGTAGATACGGTGAATTCTGTCTAATTGATCTTCTCTTCCCAAATTAGGGAGAGGAGATACGATTATAGTAATTTCTCCCGAATTCGCGCTGAGATTGCGCACGAAAATGGGCAATTTGGGGAGAGGAGATACGATTATTCGAGTCTTGCGGCTCAATTCATAGTTATGATTGTCAATAACTATAAAAAAACGAGACGCAAGGCTCGAATACAGTAATTTCTCCAGCATTCGCGCTCAGATTGTGCACAAAAACGGAGAATTTGGGAATAATCGTACCTCCTCTTCCCAAATTGTCCATTTTGTTTCCAAGCCGAGCGTCGATTAGGGAGAATTTACTGTACTTGCACGCGTACGCGAACCTTGGTGGGAGAGCACTGCCACGAATGGGACACTTTTATTTAGAACAAGATAGCGAAACAGCTGAACGACCTACCTGATTCTAGTTTAAAGGATTTAAACATTCGAGTTTGAGATGCGTTTAAAAAATTTAACTGGAAATCAACCTCCTCGGATTCTCAGCGAATCTCGTCGAAACTTCGGACTCGAATTTCTCTTTATTGTCCAGGATCGAGATACGGTAAATGTTCTCCAGTTGTCCCTCGGCTTTTGAACAAAAATGGACTATTTGGGAAGAGTTGATATGATTGTTAGAGTCTCGCGACTCGTTTTTATAGTTGTTGACAATCGGTATCTCTTCTTCTCAAACTGTCCAATTTCGTTTCCAAGCCGAGCGTCAATTAGGAAGAATTTATTGTACTTTCCATTTTGTTCGATTGCGTTTTGCCATCTTCCAGACAACTCATATTCATTACGTCGAACGCAGATCTACATTTGCAGAAAACAAGAAGCCACATTCTCTAAAATTTCCGATTATCTCGTGAAACTGGTAGTCGACAGGTTGCATGAATCCCAACGAAAAATAAGGCGCTTCTTAAACCTAGCTTTCGCTGTCGCCAGTTATTTAAAGTAAAAAAACGCGCGTCGTCCGACAGATAAACCGCAGGACGGTCTCCCAAAAGGAAACGTACCTGGACCAATGTCAGCGTCGGCCCGCCTCTTATCGGGACGTCTCTGAGGGTTCGGCACTCTTATCTGTTGCTGTTGCTGCTGTTGCTGCTGCTGCTGTCTCCTCTTCGCCTGGTTCCTAGCCATTTTCTCCTTTTTCCTGGTGTCGGCGCTGGACGCCTCCGGAAGATCGCGATCGAACAGCTTGTTGGTGTCCTCCATGGCGTCCTTCCTCATGGTCATGGCGGACGACGACCGCGAACAGCCGTGAATGTGTTCCATCGTCTCCATCGCGACCACGTCCGGCACCGGTTGCACGTATTTCTCGAGATCGACCCCGATATCACGGCCGATGCTCGACAGCAGATCGATTTCCTCGAGCTTGGTGTAGGTGGGCTGCTCCTCCGGATAGCTGTCGGTGTCCGAGTTGCTCTCCGAGTCGTCCTCGGCAGAGCCGTTCGACGTCACGTTTTGACGGTTGCCTATTTTGGAGCGTGCCTGGTGAGGCAACTCCTTTGCCTCGCGTATCAAGTCGATCTGCTCCACCACAATGTCTTCCGTCTGAAAAGGACAGGCTTTCTTAGCACGTTTTCTTTAGGCTCTTTCTTAGGCTCGTTCGGAAGTCGCGAGATTATTGGAGATTATTTAATTAGCGAGAGACGTTATTTTACAGACGCTCGTTCAGAGGGAATTAGGAACGTTCGAATCATTGTGCGGCTGTTTTTCTTGAACTCGCGCGTTTTAGTTTAAAATGGGAAGAGTAGACGATTCTAGCAGCTGGATAGTTTGCAGAACAATTTTTCTTGGAGATATAGTTCCAAGATTAAGGGAACGAAAAGTAGGCGATTTTAACAGTTGGATAATTTAACGATGATTAGCAACGTTGAATACTTTATGTGCCAATTTTTCTCGAGCCTATAGTTCCAAGATTGAACCTTGAAAATTAGACGATTCTAACAGCTGGATAACTTGCGGTGATCAGAAACATTGCAATTTTTATGCACCAATTTTTCTTGGACATATAATTCCAAGATTAAGTCCCGAAAATTAGACGATTCTAACAGCTGGATAATTTGCGATGATCAGAAGCATCTCGATTTTTAGGCACCAATTTTTCTCGAACCTATAATTCCAAGATTAAACCTTAAAAATTGGACGATTTTAACAGCTGGATAATTGACGATGATCAGAAGCATTCCAATTTTTCTTGGATGTATAATTCTAAGATTAAGCCCCAAAAAGTAGACGATTCTAACAGCTGGACAACTAATTGCCGAAGCCATTATCTATCCACTTAAATTCAATTGGCATCGCTCCTAATTTAACCAAGAATCTGACGAATTATTATTCACGCGGTTATTCAAAACTGCAAACTAAAAGAAACCACAGAAATCTAACAATTTCAATTCAATTTCATATTCGATAAACAAATCCCCGCGCAACTTATCGAGACAGAACTAAAGTCCTAATCGAATGTCTATAAAACATAAATTTCAATTCAACTTTCTGCACACAAAATCTTACAATTTTGCAACTATCAACTATGCAGAAGTGCACCCATTAGATCACCCATGTGCATCCATCATTGGATGCAAACATACATTTATAGCGAATTAATTCAATCAATTGAAGAAGCCGCAATAGATAATAATTCAGCTAATTTTCCTAATAATTCTCTAATTATAAATCCCCTAATAATTCTCTAATTCTCTAATTCTCCTAATAATTCTCTAATTCCAATTCTCCTAATAATTCTCTCATCGAGATCGCCAAAGAGAATTTAGCGAAACTATATTTCCTTTTCATCGAGCAAACTAAAACGGTTGCCTTCAGCGTCGACAAATAGTCGACCACCGATCGAAAAATCGTTTTCCCGAACAGCTCTTTTATGCTCCATAATACTCAACGTCCGTGAAGAAGCCGCAACAGCTGTTCGCCCCACTCGCGCCGCGATGAAGCAACTTTTTTCCCGGCGTGACACCGCGTCGCCCCCCACTCCGCCTTCGACAGACATTGACATCGGACAGCGCAGCGGGGGCAGAATCATAGTACCGGCACATCTGGCACTTGGTCGTCGGTTACCAAGCGGAGGCAAGACCGCCGCGGTTAAAGCCTCGGAGGAAATTTCAGATTAGCGGAGCCGCGACCAGCGACCGCGTAATACCCGCGACGATCAAACGACGGACTCGGAGCGGATCAATTGTTCGAGACGCACCTCGCCGACCTCGCTGGTCTTCCTAAATCGTCCATTTTCGTGCGCAACCTGAGCGCGAATTAGGGAGAAATTACTGTAATTGACCCTCTGCACTCGAGTGATGACTCTGAGGCACCACTAAAATTATTGTACGACGCTCCAAGATAATCTTTACATTAACAAAGTTTACATTTAAAACATCGTTAAAAGTGTAACCGTTGTACGAGTCGTCAGAAGACCCAATTTCATATGCATAAAATGCACTTTTTTTATATAAAATGGAAATACTGTAAGTCAGAAGAATTATTTCAGGTTTACGATTAAAATAGCTTCGAGTGCAAAGGGTTAATATAGAGCGACTCTTTATACCAAACAAAAATCGTCTATTGATAATTCTAAAATTTTCAATCTAATTCTAGGAAATACAAAATAAGTTGCGGATGAGACTGCTTCCTCTCTTTTAATAACTGCGATAAGTCGAGCAACAAAGCGTTCGAAGCGTAAAGCGATGCTGAGAGCGACGACGAACAAGCTGCAGGAACAACGTTGGTTCACAATTCTCACAGTCGGGGAGTAAGCAAGTTGTCGTTGCGCAAACACTTCTGCGTAACTTTCCCATCGCGAGCCATCGCGGTTCGACGGAACGTCGGACGTTAATCTACGAAACGAAAGTGTGACTCGGATGCGGATCAATTGTTCGAGACGCACCTCGCCGACCTCGCTGGTCTTCCCGGAGTCCGGTATCTCCTCGATCTCCGGGAACTGCAGTGTCTCCTTGACGCTGGTGGTTAGCTCGACGATCTCGACCTCGACCGGGATCTCCCGTTCCTGCTTCTTCTCCAGAACCGCCTCGGACAAGTCCGGAGTTGTTTCCGCGACCGTGTCGGCGAGCGCCTCTTCCGGCTCCAGAACGGTCAGGTGGGTCTCCGCCTCGACGATACCGCTGACGATCTCCGATTCCGGCGAGAAGATCTTCTCCTCCGTTCGAGAGTCCTCCACGCTCTTCACGTAGTTTATGCACTTCTCCGACGGCGGCACCACCGACTCGTACAAAGATGTCACGGTCTGCGAACAGAGTCGATACCGATGACGATGATCGTTAAGGCCGTTTGCCTTAGACGCCTTAATTGAAAGGCTGGAACAGGTCTGGATTCTGTCTTTTCACGGAAACGATAGGGCTCGACGTCCGCCATTTTTACGGCTCTGAATTCGGCCCCTGATTTTCGGCTATTTTCTTGTCACGCGTGTTTCATCTCAATGACGTGTCACAACAGGTGGGACTCGACTTGGATTTATGATCACGAATCGCTTTTGGAAGATTACAGAGCTGTTGGAAATTGGTTGGCCGTATTCTGTAATTTTGGCTAGGTTTCTTGACTTTCACGCGAGCTCGCCTTTTATTAATTCTTGATTAACGCGTTCGATGAAGGGGGACATGCTTTTGGAGACATGTGAAGTTCGCGACGTCGAAATTTACGCGAAGTTATGGTGTTCGGAAAGTCTGCGATTCCAAAAGGAAGGANTCTGCGAACAGAGTCGATACCGATGACGATGATCGTTAAGGCCGTTTGCCTTAGACGCCTTAATTGAAAGGCTGGAACAGGTCTGGATTCTGTCTTTTCACGGAAACGATAGGGCTCGACGTCCGCCATTTTTACGGCTCTGAATTCGGCCCCTGATTTTCGGCTATTTTCTTGTCACGCGTGTTTCATCTCAATGACGTGTCACAACAGGTGGGACTCGACTTGGATTTATGATCACGAATCGCTTTTGGAAGATTACAGAGCTGTTGGAAATTGGTTGGCCGTATTCTGTAATTTTGGCTAGGTTTCTTGACTTTCACGCGAGCTCGCCTTTTATTAATTCTTGATTAACGCGTTCGATGAAGGGGGACATGCTTTTGGAGACATGTGAAGTTCGCGACGTCGAAATTTACGCGAAGTTATGGTGTTCGGAAAGTCTGCGATTCCAAAAGGAAGGATCTTTTCACGGAAACGATAGGGCTCGACGTCCGCCATTTTTACGGCTCTGAATTCGGCCCCTGATTTTCGGCTATTTTCTTGTCACGCGTGTTTCATCTCAATGACGTGTCACAACAGGTGGGACTCGACTTGGATTTATGATCACGAATCGCTTTTGGAAGATTACAGAGCTGTTGGAAATTGGTTGGCTGTATACTGCAATTTTGACCGGGTCTTTTCTCGACTTCGACGCGAGCTCGCCTTTCATTAATTCTTGATTAACGCGTTCGTCTTGATTGACTTTACGTTTCGGGGAAATGTGAAGTTCGCGACGTCGAAATTTACGCGAAGTTATGGTGATCGGGAAGTCCGTGATTCGAGTTTGTTAGTTGATGATTTTATGACGATTTTCCGGGGTTAACGGAACCTTTATATTTCAATGAGTGGTAATTTTGAACTCGAGATTATTTCTTTCAGATAATTCGAAGATCGATGAGCGGCTGTTTTTTAACTGTCGGCTCCTTCTTTCGAATCGTTTGGAGATCAAGATGTGCTAATTTTAAACTAGAAAGGCTTTTAAATAATTTGGAGCACAAGGAGGGCTAATTTTCAAACGTTAAATAATTTCGAGATTGAAGGGCGGCAGAGCTAATTGTAAACTATAGACTCTTTCAAATAATTTGGAAATTATGGGAGGCTAATTTTAAACTACTGATATTTTCAAATAATTTGGAGTTCGAGGAGAGCTAATTTTAACCTATAGACTCTTTCCAATAATTTGGAGGTTAAGGGGGGCTAATTTCAAGCTGTAGACTTCTTCCAATAATTTGGAGGTTAAGGGAGACTAATTTTAAACTATAGACTCCTTCCAATAATTTGGAGGTTAAGGGAGGCTAATTTTAAACTATAAGACTGTTTCAGATAATTTGGAGATTAAGGGATGCTAATTTTAAACTAGAGTCTCCTTTAAATAATTTGAAGATCGAGGAGGGGGGGAGTATAATTTTAATCTACAGCCTCGTTTAAATAATTTGGAGATCAAGAAGGACTAATTTTAAGCTATAGGCTCTTTCAACTTAATTTGAAGTTTAAGGAGGGCTGATTTTCAATTCTACACTCTGTCAAATAATTTGGTGATCAATGAGTGGTATCTTTAAACTTCCAGCGCTTTCTTTCAAGCAATTTGCAGATCGATAAGCGCTAATTTTAAACTACAGTCTCTCTTCCATACAATTCCGAGATCAATGAGTGCTAATTTTAAGCTTCGGGCAGCGTTCCGTTCAAATAATTCGTAGATCAAGGAAACGAACGAAGAGCGCATACCTGTATGTTGAACTTGGGCTTCTCGTAGAAGATCTTCCTCTGGTTCTTCTGCCCGCAAAGATGGTTGATGCTGTCCTCGATGTTGTTGTTGTACTCGTTGTCGTTCTCGACCGGCCGCGCGTTGATTTCGTTGAGCCGCACGTAATCGGGACAGCTCTCGTGCTCGTCCTCGGTCAGATCCGTGTCCGATAGAAGAGACGGCGCCAGGTGTTGAAAACCGGGATAGTTAGGGTTGACGATGCCGCGGCAACCTGCGGGCAGATTTCCTTCCTCGGACCAGTCGGACCACTCGGACGGTGTCAACTCGTGGGACGAGTCTTCGTGAGAGGAGTTACGCCCTGCGGAATTTCATGCTGGTTGCACATTGCCGGAATACTGAATAATCGGGGGCTCGCAACGCGACACTGACTCATCGCGCCGGCCGGCCGGCCGACCGGCCCGGCCCGACCCGGCCCGACCCGGCCCGGCCAGGCCCGACTCGTCTCTCCCGGCTCGGCTCGAGGGAATACGCGATTGAACCGTTTTGATTAAAACACGCGGACGCGCGCGTCCCGATTTCCTCGTAGCCCTGGCCAGACTGATCTATATTGAACCTGTTACTCATCTCTTTTTCGCTCTCTCTCTTCTCTGATAACGCATCACCGACGAGATCCGCCGCGTGATTCGCTCGCCGCGAACGTTTACGTCGATTGCCCCGGACGGGAAAAAAAGTAGAATGCTCGTCAGATGTGCAAAAGAATCTTCTGTTGATAATGATTCAGCTAATTCTCCTAACAATTCTCTAATTCTAATTCTCTAATTCTAATTCTCCTAATAATTCTCTAATTTTTTCCTAATAATGTTCTAATTCTAATTCTCCTAATAATTCTCTAATTCTAATTTTCCTAATAATTCTAATTCTCCTAATAATTCTCTAATTCTTATTCTCCTAATAACTCTCTAATTTTCCTAATAATTCTCTAATTCTAATTCTCCTAATAATTCTCTAATTCTAATTCTCCTAATAATTTTCTAATTCTCCTAATAATTCTCTAATTCTCCTAATAATTCTCTAATCCTAATTCTACTAATAATTCTCTAATTCTAATTTCCCTAATAATTCTCTAATTCTAATTTTCCTAATAATTCTAATTTTCCTAATTATCATAATTCTAATTCTCCTAATTATAACAATTCTAATTCTCCTAATTATCATAATCCTAATTCACCTTCAGCTCGTAAACAAAAACGGCTATCTCAGATCATTCGATCATTCGATCATGCCGATCGTCGACAATTATAAAAACGAGGCCCAAGGCCCAATCTCTGCACCAATTGTCCATTTCCGTTCGCAAGCTGAAGGGACAATCAGGGAGAACTTGACCGTGCAAATATAACCTTCCAACACGGACTCGCATTTCTTACGCGACACGCGACATCGTCGATTCACAATTAAACTCTTATAAAATCGACACGGACGCGATCGTAAAAATCAATCGATTCGAAAACCAGTCGGTGCTTCTAACGTCGTCGCGACTCCGTTCGCCGGTAAATCCGATCGCCAATAAATATCTTGATCGGCTCCCGTTGCATTAGCATCGAAAAGCTGGCTAAAAACGTTTCGCACGATCGAATCGATGCGTTTCTAACGCCACAAAAAAAGAGAAAAAAAAAAGAAAATCAGGAAGTATCGACCGTTCTCCCCGTTATTTCGGTACTCGATACACGATCCAAAAGAAATACTCGGAGCGCTTTAACGCCGTCGCGCGACGTGCGCGCGGATAAAAAATAGAAACGCGGCCGATCGTCGAAGGAAAAGAGGCGTCGAGCAGTTCGATCGGCGCAGCTGTTCGATGCGAACGACCCGCGCACCGGTTTTATATTTGATAGAAATCAGGCGGCATTACCTTCGTAATCGGCCAGGCTCTCGACCGAGCTGTTCCTGCGGATCCTCGGCACCGATAAGTTGTTGTTGAGGTTGCCGGCGTCGTTGTTCGCGGTATCGATCGCGACGTTGTCGCGGGTGATGGCCAGCGAGGACCACGTGGTGGTGTCCTCGGCGACACGGAAATCCTCGGTGTCCTCGACGGCGAACTCGGTCGACGTCGGGCTTCTGGCCACGGGGACCGCGGTGGTCGTCGGGCTCTCGTTCCGATTCTCGATCTCCTCTGTGCTCGGCTGGTTCTGCTCGCTTCTACGTAGCTGACTGCGAGCGAGACAGAGAAATGAGTCCAAGTGGATCGATACGTTCCGTTAGCCGCGGCCCGTACGATCTATGACGATGCAAATATAGTCAGCACACCTACGTAAGACGTCTGCGAGGCAGCCGAGAGAGCTACCTCGGCCCACCCACGCACGACGCTTCGCGAGGGAACCCTTTCGTTTCGATTCGATTCGTTTCGTTTCATTTCGTTTCGTTCGGTTTCGTGAAGATTCGTTCGGTTGGTTCGTTTAGGCTGATTTCAATTCGCGACGATTTCAAGACCCGAGGGACCACAGTAATGTCTCTGTAATTGACGCTCAGATTGTACATAAAAATGGAGAATTTGGGAAGAGGAGATACGATTATTCCGGGTCTCGCAGTTCATTTTCATAGTTATCGGTTGTTAATAATTATTGAAATGAGGTGCAAGGCTCGAATAATCGTATCGCCTCTTCCCAAGTTGTACAATTTTGTTTACAAGCTGAGCGTCAATTAGAGAGAATTTATTTACTAGAATTTATTTACTATTTATTTACTACTTATGTCGATCGCTAGAAACTACAGTAATGTCTCTCTGATTGACGCTCAGATTGTCCACAAAAATGGACAATTTAGGGAGAAGAGAATACGATTATTTGAGTCTCGTGGTTCATTTTCATAGTTACCGATTGTTAATAATTATTAAAACGAGATGCAAGGCTCAAATAATCATATCTCTTCTTCCCAAATTGTCCAATTTTGTTGACAAGCCGAGCGTCAATTAGAGAGAATTTACTTACTAATTTAAGGTTATGTCGATCGCTTGGAACTACAGTAATGTCTCTCTAATTGACGCTCAAAAATGGAGACTTTGGGAAGAGGAGAATACGATTATTCAACGCTTGCCGTTCGTTTTTGTAGTTACGAATTGCCAAGAACTATAAAAACGAGCTACATGGCTCGAATAATCGTATTTTCTCTTCCCAAGTTGTCCATTTTTGTTTATAAGCTGAGCGTCAATTAGAGAGAATTTATTTACTAGTTTAAAGTTATGTCGATCGCTAGGAACTACATGTCTCTCTAATTTACGCTCAGATTGTCCACAGAAATAGACAATTTGGGAAAAGGAGATACGATTATTCGAACCTTACGTTTCGTTTTTATATTTTCATTCGTGGGAAGTGCGTTCTTTTGTTTTTCATTTCGATCCTCGAGTCGTACAAAACCGTATGGAAAGTAATTTTTAAATAAAAATGAAGTGATTGAGCGGTAACTCCAAGGCACCGCTAGAAAATGTTTATATCGCATTCCAAAATAATTCTTACATCCACAAAATTTAGATTTGTAAAATTGTTAAAAGTATAAACTGTTGTATAAGTCGCAAGACTCGATTTCGCACGCGTAAAATGCGCTCTGTTGTATAAAATAGAGACAGCGTCGGTTGTCATTAAACATTATTTTAGATTTACAGTTAAAATGGCTTCGAGTGCAAAGGGTTAACGATCAAATAATTGCAGACATAATTCTGCGGTACGCGAAAGGTCGAAAGATGGTCGAATCGGCGTACAAAGAACGCGCGAGGGTTACAGTAATGTCTCTCTAATTGACGCTCAGTTTGTCCACAAAAATGGACAATTTTGGAAAAGGAGATACGATTGTTCGAGCCTTGTGGCTCGTTTTTCATGGTTATCGATTGTCAACGATTGTAAAAACGAGCTGCAAGGCTCGAACAATCGTATCTCCTCTTCCCAAATCGTCCATTTTTGTGCACAATCTGAGCGTCAGTTAGGGAGACATTACTGTACAGTGAATTCTCCCTAATTAACGCTCAGATTGTATACAAAAAGAGGAGATATGATTGTTCGAGCCTCGCGGCTCGTTTTCATAGTTGCTGAGAATCGGTAATTATAAAAACGAGGCGCAAGACTCAAAGTAATCGTGTCTCCTCTTCCCAAATTGTCCATTTCTGTGGACAATCCGAGCGTCAGTTAGGGAGACATTAATGTAGTTTGGCGGAATATCGATCCCTCGGATCGCCCGCGTTTTTCTCCCGCGATTCCTTTTTCTCTCGGCCCGCTGTCGTTCTCCTCGCGTTTTTCCTTTCTCGTCTCTTCGTTCGGCCGCGCGTCGAGCAGCGATGGGTGCTCGACACCTTTACGCCCGCGCGATACAGCACGGCCTGATGACTGCCGCTTAAATGATGATGCACCGCGATATTGATATTCCGCGATTAAATGCGCGCCACGTTTCTTTTTATCCGAGCCGGGATTGCGAGATGCTTCGTTCCAGATTACCGCGGAATCTTTTATTTATCCGCGATCGCGTCGCTGCTGCGAGACGCTGTTTGCTTCATGGAGCAGTTCCTCTTTTATATTTTTCCTATCCTTTTTCCGGTCGGAGCCGTTTTTTTCTTTTTACACTCGAAATCGAAAATGGTTTTACCGGTTCATTTTATGTAACCTGGTTGCATTTCGTTGCATTAATTTTTACCGTTGGTGGTGCATGTATAGGATTGAATTTCGTAACTCGTGCAATAGTTATACTTTTAACAGTTTTTTTTTTTGATGCAATAGTGTCTGTTTAAGGGAGATTGCTGCGAGGCAAATGGCTGATTTTAGTATAGCTTAATTCTTTAGAAACGTCTCTAGAAAATCTCCATTAAAAGTTCATATATATATACATATATAGTTTTTAACCCTTTATACCATGATCCCTGTCACAGAGACAAATATAATAGAATGAGACAATTTTTGTTTCTAGTATCTCCTCATTGACTTTCATTCACTGATTTCGATAACAGAAGAATCTAGTTTTCTATTTATTTATTTACTTATTTATTTACTCATTTATTTATTTACTCACTTATTTATTTATTTACTTATTCATTTAATTATTTATTTATTTACTTATCTATTTACTTATTTGTTTATTTACTTATTTATTTATTTACTTATCTATTTACCTATTTGTTTATTTACTGATTTATTTAATTATTTATTTATTTACTTATTTATTTACTTACTTAATTATTTACTTATTATTATTATAGGAACTCATCAGTAAACAATAACGAAAGGTTCAGTTTTGATGGAGAACAGAGTTTCCGAGAAAAGAAGAAAGAAACGCGACGAAACTACAAAATTCGCATCGTACAGATAAAACGGACGTTAATATCCAAGCTTCAGTTTCCATTTAAAAGAAACGAACAGGAATTTAATTGCTGAAAACTTTTGAAACGTTTCGCTGCCGCTTGGGACGATCGGCAATAAAACGCTTGACCGATCGACTGGACGTTTCAACTGTACCTTGACGAAGAATCCTGTTTCGCCACGAATCGAAACGAATCGCACCGTAATTAACCCCTTGCCGTATTTAGGCGAGTAAAATTCGTCGCGACGAAAATTTCCGTCAATAACTAATTTTAAGCATGGATGTGATCACGTTCTTCTTTTCACGTCGGAATGAAATTCCGATCAATTGTCATTAATATTTCAGCGTTCGAAGTAATGCGAGGTAAATTTAGACACGCGATAAACATCAATTTTCTTTCGACCGAAATATTTCCGATCGCGGTGATTGCGAAGAAAATGGTACGTCAAGGGGTCAAGCTTTTTGATCGCAGCATACCAATCGTACGGACCGCCTCGGTGGCGCGCGCGCACACATATATCTATCCGATTATAGTGTCAGTGCAATAGTACGAGGTCTGTCTAGGAGATCAAACAGCAGGCGTCTCAGTAACACCATCGTCAAGAACGGAAACAAAACAATGGTAAAGCAACGCAAAAAAGTACGTCCAAGCCCGCGGGTTCTGATCACCGTACGGAGGCACGATGGTGCAATATACACTAATTTCTCCCTAATTCGCGCTCAGATTGCGCATAAAAATAGACAATTCGGGAAGAGGAGATACGGTTACAGTAATTTCTCTCGAACTCGCGCAGAGATTGCGCACAAAAATGTACAATTTTGGAAGAGGAGATACGATTATTCGAGTCTTGCGGCTCGATTCATAGTTAGGGATTGTCAATAAGTATAAAAAACGAGACGCAAGGCTCGAATACAGTAATTTCTCCCGCATTCGCGCTCAGATTGCGCACAAAAACGGAGAATTTGGGAATAATCGTACCCCCTCTTCCCAAATTGTCCATTTTGTTTGCAAACTGAGCATCAATCAGAGAGAATTTATTGTATCGTTAAAACACGTCGAACTGATATTTTTGAAATCGATTATAGCTTGTGATACGAATCAAATATTGCGAAACAGTCGAGGCAGGAACTATTTAGTTTTATCAAATTTATAGAAATTGATGAGAAATTATATTCCACACGATCGTGCAATTAATTAACCGGACAGTCGCCGGGTCGTTTCGTCGCAAGGTATTTAAAACGCCGCCTAATTATTCAATTTTTTAGAATCGACAACTTTTGTTTCATAAAGTCCGTATCGATACGCTCGTTCGTCAAATCTTTAAACAGTCTAACTATTTTCAACGTTTTATCGTTTCATATTTTCTTCAAAGCGTTACAGTAAATTCTCCCAAATTGTCCCTCAGCTGGTACATAAAAATGGACAATTTGGGAAGAGGAGATACGATTATTCGAGCCTCGCGGCTCGTTTTCATAGTCACCAATCGTCGACAACTGTAAAAACGAGCCGCGAGGATCGAATAATCGTGTCTCCTCTTCCCGAATTGTCCATTTTTGTTTCCAAGCCGAGCGTCGATTAGGGAGAATTTACTGTACTTGCACGCGTACGCGAACCTTGGTGGGAGAGCACTGCCACGAATGGGACACTTTTATTTAGAACAAGATAACGAAACAGCTGAACGACCTACCTGATTCTAGTTTAAAGGATTTAAACATTCGAGTGTGAGATGCGTTTAAAAAATTTAAGTGGAAATCAACCTCCTCGGATTCTCAGCGAATCTCGTCGAAGCTTCGGACTCAAATTTCTCTTTATTGTCCAGGATCGAGATACGGTAAATTCTCTTAAATTGTCTCTCGGCTTGTAAACAAAAATGGGAAATTTGGGAAGAGGAAATGCGAGTATTTGAGCCTCGCGACTCGTTTTCATAGTTGTTTGCAATCGGTAACTGTAAAAACGAGCCGCAAGGCTCGAATAATCGTATCTCCTCTTCTTAAATTGTCTACTTTCGTGCGCAATCGGTACGCGAATTAGGAAAAAATTACGGTAATCGTATCTCCTTTTCCCATATTGTCCATTTTCATGCGCAAACTCAGCGCGAATTAGGGAGAAATTATTGTAATCGTATCTCCTCTCCCCAAATTGCCCATTCTCGTGCGCATACTCAGCGCGAATTAACGAGAAAAAACTGTATTCAAGCTTCGCGGCTCATTTTTATAGTTACCGATCTGTCAACAACAATAAAAACGAGCCGCGAGGTTCGAATAATCATATCTCCTCTCCCAAAATTGTCCATTCTCGTGCTCAAACTCCCCGCGAATTGGTATGAGATAACTGTATTCGAGTTTCGCGGTTCATTTTTATAGTTACCGATCTATCAACAACAATAAAAACAAGCCGCGAGGCTCGAATAATCGTATCTCCTCTCCCAAAATTATCGATTTTCGTGCGCAAACGCAGCGCGAATTAATGGAGAAATTACTGTAATCGTATCTCCTCTTCCCAAATCATCTATTTTCGTGCGCAAACTGTTCGCGAATTCTTTAGAAATCACTGTAAACAATGTGCTCGTTTCTCGTCGAGAACGGTAGGGTACAGTAGCGGGTCCCGAAGATCTGGATCGTGTGTGGATCGGATAACGCGTGTGTGTATTTGGTCAAGCCGTCGGAGAGCGGTCGTTATCGATCGCGCTAAAAAAGAACTGGCATGGCGTCGTGCACACAGAATCATCGTTCCCCAACAACATCCGAAATCAACAGAATAGACAGATCTATCTGGAAGCGAACGATAATCTAGCGCAAACGGAACACGACACTAACGGATTCTCGTATGTTCGCACTCTAATTGCGGGGAGAGCCGTGGTAGTGTGGAGCGTGTGGAGAGAGGGGGCGGTGGGGGGCGTAGGCCACGATAATTTGCAATCAACGAATAATATTGCGGGTACATCTCGACGGAACAAACGCTAGCTCGTGTACGTTCGTTTCGTTTTGTCGATGGATTTTTGTGATCGATGATGGCTTTCGGGGAGCTGAGCTGAGCTGTGGGGGAGGGGGGGGGGGG